ATTCTATAGGTTGTCTCTTTACACTGATAGTTTCTTTTGCTGTGCAGACACTCTTTAGTTGAATTAGGTTCCACTTGTCAATTTTTTGTTTTTATTGCAGTTACTTTGGAGGACTTAGTCATACATTCTTTCCCAAGTTCATGTCCATAATGGTGTTTTCTAGGTTTTCTTCTAGGATTCTTATTGTTTGAGGTCTTACATAGATTGCTGATTTCACTGGCTGACTTTCTTAGCATTAGATTTTTAAAGTATGTGTTGTAGAATTTTAGTTTTTAGGCCATTTTGAGTGGGAGGTTTTTCCCCACAGCCACTCATGTTCATTTTTTTTCCTTTGTTTTTTCATAAAATAAAGGTTTTTCAGTTCCCTCTACCCAGGTCCCCTAGACTCCCTCCTGCACATGCCTTATAAAGATGGCTTGGGGCACATGCCCTATGGTAGTAACTGGAATGTCCTAGACCCAGGGACTGAGCAAGCAGGTGGCTTAGTTTAGTTCCAAGTATTAAGACTGCATGTGTATCCTCCTGCGTTTAGACCACAGCTACAAATAAGTTATATCCCAGGAAGCAGTTGATGGCTATTTTTTTTTCCTCTTCCTTTTCTTCCCAGCTTTCTCTCACAAACACTGCCCACATAACATTAAAGAGTGAGACCACCTGTGGTTCCTTAACACCTGAGGAGCTGAACTCTGGGATGCCAGATCAAGAGCCCAGCAGCCCTTGGCTTTAGCCTTCCTCACTGCTTTTTCATTTCTCTTATATTTCTGCCTCATGGGGGAAGGGGAGTTATCTTGTTTTTGATACTGGCAGTGTCTATTATTGCTGTGTATTTGGAGCAGAACGGGGGGATACTTTGAAGCATGAACTTACTAAGCCAACTTGACTGGAGGTTTTTTTGTTTTTTGAGACGGAGTTTCACTCTTATCACTCAGGCTGGAGTGCAGTAGTGCGACCTCAGCTCACTGCAACTGACTGGAGGTTTTTTAACCTGGAAACTTGATCAGATATTTTAGCTATTTCTCCCCTCCCTCCTTACCCCTACCCTATTCCCTGAAGGCATTGTGGAGGGTAGATTGAAAGGGAAACTAAAACTACGTAGTAGCTTAGGACACCAAGGGTAACAAATGATCAAGGTCTGAACCAGGATGGAGAGGAGAAAATGGATTCGGAAGATAATTAGTGGGTCAATAGACATGGATAACTGAATTTGGGAGGTATATGTTCATATTTTTAACTTAGAATGGAGATAAAAGTCACTGAGAAAGGAATATGGGAAGAAGAGTAGATTTTGGTTTGCTATGGGTCAGGAATAGAGACAGGAGTTTGAAGATTTTTATGATTGTTTGAAGCCTAGTACATGTTTTACTAAAGATCTTGTGATACATATTTTTTCCTAGCTGTGCATCTCAATATCCCAGATCTTTGAATTTGCCATATTTCCAAATCTCTTTACACGATGTTCAGCTTTAAACATACATATAGATTTCTCCCCAGCATTTGGGAAACTTTTTCTCAGCATATTCATTCATTTCACAAACTTTTCTTAAGTGCCTCTTAAACAAACAAGCATAGACTGGCCTTCGTGGATGTCAGTTTAGTGGAAGGAAAAGACAGTTAGCAAATGGGCAATTACAAACTGTGGGAATGCTGTAAAAGACAAGGGTAAGATGCTGTGAGAGTATATGAAAGCAGGGCCTGGCCATGTCAGAGGCCCACGTCTATGTGTAGGGCTCACTGGGAGGGGGTGTTCACAGTCGGTGGAAGGCTTTCCCGAAGAAATCGTAGCTCTTCCCTGTCTGGCACACCCTGCCCTAAGCAGCCTGCAGAGCTGGCTGCTTCTGCTGTTCAAGACTCAGCCATGTTAACTCCTCTGAAAGACTTCCCATGACTGCACCCAAAATTAACGTCTAGCCATCTAGCATAGCACTCTTCTTTATTTCCTTTACTTATTTTTGTCTGAAATTATCTTGCTGATGATTATTGGCTGTTTCAACCAACTACAGTGTAAGTGTCACAAGTGCAGGGACCTTGTCTCTTTTTTTTTTTTTTTGACTTGCACCACCATTGATTAGAATATTCCCTGAAACTTAACTGTTCCAGAAATGACTGACTACATAAATGAATTTCCTTGGATCTTGATTTCTTGCATAATTGCTCTAATAATTTGATCTCCTTGTCCTTTTCGTTTGCTTGTTTGGGAGGACTCCTCAAGTTGGCTGTCTACTTATTGATTTTTATATCACCTGGATCCTATCCTCACTCCCCTGTCATCCTCTAATTGAGGTTGCCAATTGTAGCATCACACCTTATGGCCATGGTGATGAGTATGTGACTGTTTCAGGCTGAGCCAGTTGGAGTCCTTCTAATACTCCAAATTTGAAGGAAGGAAGAAGGAGACTTCTCAGGTGGCATTGTGAATCTAGAGTTGTTTGTGGCCATAACCACCTTCAGATAAAAGAAGCCAATGTACAAGAAGAGAAAATACAGGCATTTCCTAGAGAAGCAGAGACGGCAGGGGGAAAGAAGTCCTGGTGGTTTTCCAGCCTTGGCTTCCTCTGTGCCTGAGGCTCAGTTGCAACCCCTGGTTTTCCCATGACTTTTGCCTTACCCAGTTCAAATGGAGTTTCTGACACTTAGCCAAAAGATTCCCAATTAAAACTGTACCTCATCCAGGCCAGGTGCAGTGACTTACACCTGTAATCCCAGCACTTTGGGAGGCCAAGGCAGTTGGATCACAAGGTCAAGAGATCGAGACCATCCTGGCCAACATGGTGAAACCTCCTCTCTACTTAAAAAAAAAAAAAAAGTAGCTGGGTGTGGTAGCACACACCTGTAGTCCCAGCTACTGGGGAGGCTGACGGAGGAGAATCGCTTGAACCTAGGAGGCGAAGGTTGCAGTGAGCTGAGATCGCGCCATTGCACTCCAGCCTGGGCAACAAGAGCGAAACTCCATCTCAAACAAACAAACAAAACCCCAAAAACTGCACCTCATCTAACAACCTTCTTATCTTGATGTATTTTATATAATATCCTTGGGTATTGATCTTTTGGCATAGTTTAATTTCTAATTTCAGAGAATCCATGTTTTCTACTTCCAACTCCATTTCTTTCTTTTGCTGCCTAAATTTTCTATTTTCAGTACTTCTTTTTAATATGCTGTTCCCCCTTTCTTTTCAGAAATGTATTGCTTAGTAGTAAGTAGGTGCTGTCTAATTATTGCTGCTGTTGTTATTTAACACATCCTTGAGGCAGGTTTATTAGGCTCTTCTTGGATTTTCTCACTTTCAACTTTGATGCTTTCCAACAGCCAGGTTAGTACCTACTATCTCTAGGGTGACAGGAAGCCAGGGTAGTGGGCAGAAGCTCACTTCTGGGCTATTTCTTCCCTATTTTTGATGAACTGCTGCAGCCTGATCTTTCAGGCGCTGCTGACTGCTACCTCAGGGAGGGGCTCTGATGGTCTGGGGAGAAGTCCTCCATTATTACAACTGGCTCTTTGCTGGGTGTAACTGCCTGTCTCTTAGAACGATTGCAGCTGTCCTCAAATCCCGCTGATCCACACAGACTCCAAGGAGAATATTCCACATCTGTCCTATGATTTCTAGTTCTAACCTAATTAGAGCAGTGTTACAAGAAATTATTTCAGGCCAAACAACGCTCTTAGGCAGCTAAGTTGTAAATTGACTTAGTATTTTTCATCAATCTGGTTTCATGTACACTATGTCAAGAAGAAAATTAGCAGCTTTTTGGTATTGGTAATTTGTTCCTTTATTAATTCACTCAGTAAAAATTTTTTTTTTTTGAGTGAGTTTCATGCTGTCACCCAGGCTGGAGAGGCTGGAGTGCAGTGGCCTAATCTCGGCCCACTGCAACCTCCGTCTCCTGGGTTCAAGCAATTCTCATCCCTCAGCCACTTGAGTAGTTGGAATTACAGGCATGCGCCACCGTGCCTCGCTAGTGTTTTTAGTAGAGATGGGGTTTCACCATGTTGCCCAGTCTGGTCTCAAACTCCTGACCTCAAGTGATCCACCCGCCTTGGTCACTTAGTACATACTTACTGAGCATCTACTGAGTGCCAGTCACTCTTGGAGACACTGAAGATACCAGTGTCTAAAATGAGAGTTCTCTGCCCCTCCTGGAGCTTGTATTTTTGATGAGGAAACAACCAATAAGTAAGTAAACCAATAAATATATGATATTAGGTAGTGATAAATGCCAAAGTGAAAAATAAAGCAGGATAAAGGAATAGAGAGTGATGGGGGTGGAGCTCTTTTTGAAAGGGCAGACAGAAGGGAGACTCTCTGAGGAGGTGACTTTTGAGAAGAGACCTGAATGAATCAGGGAGATGAAGAGCATGGTCAGATTGTAGAATAAGGCACCAGGGTAGCTAGAGCAGAAGGAATGAAGTGAAAGGTGGAAGACAATGAGTTCCTGAAGTTAAGGACCTTTATACTGTTCACAAAGGAGGTGACCTCATGGCATAATCACCTCTTAATGCTCTCACATTGGCAGTACCTGAATTTTGGAGGGGGATACATTCAAACTACAGCTGTATGTAATTCTCTATCTGCTTCTCTATTCCATATGCATATATAGTGGTTTCTTTTCCTCTATACCTTACAGCTTCAAATCATATTGTGTATGTTGCTTTAAATCTTTAACCATGTGTCCTGGTCATACATCTAGGTCAGCATATCTAGATCCAATTCATACCCCTTCTTTGTATGCCTTTATTGTTTGACTATTGCTAAGTGTATATTGCTTTTAAAAGGAAAATCCAATAATGTATTTAAAGTGAAAAATGTAATGACAGTATATAATTTTTATCATATATTAATGATTTATTTACCCTTTGAAGTATAGGAATATACTTATCAGCAATTCTTTACTTGCTGCAGGTTTTTTCACTGCTGACATTTTTTAGAAAAATTTCTGTAGAATAAAAATTAATTATAGCCTTAACTAGTATTTACTTTTCTAAGCAGATTCAATATATTTTTCAGGTTACTATATCCGGGAAAAATCTAAGCAAGTCATCACATTGCTGATGGATGAACAGCTGCTGTGTAAAGAGAGGGAAGTGGCGTGTCGGACTAGGCAGCGTACCTCCTACTCCACATGGTTTTCTAAAAGAGTGTTTGGTTCAAGTAGCTCACTGATAGCGTGTGCTTCTGCCCCCACACCAGATATTTCTGCTTCAGGGAAGAAGTATAAGCTTCCTAAGTTTGGAAGGCTACATAATAAAAGTACGTATAATGAACACTGGCCTAAAATGTAACTGGTACTAATAATGATTTTAAAATATAAAATATGTTTTAGTACTAAATTACTGTACTATTTAGTACTACTACCATACTAGGCTTCATACTATAGAAAACAAAGATGAAGAATATTTAGTAGAAGATTTTATGCCTTTAAAAAAAATTTTTTTTGCTTTATATATTTATTTATTTATGAGATGGAATCTTACTCTGTCACCCAGGCTGGAGTGCAGCGGTATGATCTTGACTCACTGCAACCTTTGCCTCCTGGGTTCAAGCAATTCTCCTCCCTTAGCCTCCTGAATAGCTGCGATTACAGGCACCCACCACCATGCCTGGCTGATTTTTGTATTTTTATTAAAGATGGGGTTTCACCATGTTGCCCAGGCTGGTCTCGAACTCCTGACCTCAAGTGATCCTCCTGCCTTGGCCTCCCAAAATACTGGGATTACAGGTGTGAGCCACTGTGCCTGGCCCAATTTTATTTCTGTTTTCTGAATGCAGTTATCTTGGATTCAAATAAAATGTCTTTGAGCTTTTAAGATATTAAAGTAGTGACTACCTTATTTGGCATTGTGATTCAATTTTAAGATTTTATGCTTAACTAGAAAGTGAAGTAGTACAGTTTTCTAAGACTAGGTGTCTGGATATGTGTGTATGAGGTCTCTTTGATCCTATAATATATATCAAATAATTGAAATTTTAAAAAATATCCCTCAGAATCCTAAATGTTCTTCTAGGACAATACTTTGTACTCTTTCCTTTGCTTAAAACTTTAAATATGGACTACTGAACTTTTATGAAAAAGGGATTTGTATATAATGCTATAATAGACATCAGTAGAAAAATGCTGTCATCTTTTCTACCAAATTTGCCAAAACTTAAATCTTTTTGCTCTAAATTCTCCAGTAGAACCCCTGTTGATAAGTTGTGTATGAGGAATGGACAGTTGAAGGAAGCAAAACATTCATGAAATGTGACTTAGAAACTGTCTCTTTGTATTCAGTACAAACAGGTAATTCCAAATGTCAGTTAAGTGTGAAAATTTAACAATGTTACTAGTAGTACCAACACAAGTTAATCTTGCTGAAAATCATTCAAGTACTTTTCTGACTTAAGTGTTTCAAATGGTCACCCAATGGGACATTGAGTGAACATCCATACTTGGGATTGGAGAGATAGACATTGAAAGAAGATAGCCATTGTAATTATAGTTGCAAATGCTACCTACCTGCTTCTAAGAGTGGTGGAATTTCTTTCTTTAGGGTATCTGATTCTTTTGAAATAAATATCCAAAAGAGCCACTCATTTTGAAATTTTCTCATGTGAGTCTTTAATTCAAATGGATGCTAAAAACAGAGCAACAGAGAAGAATAACTGATTATGACTCATTCAGAGTTTCTTCCTTTTGCTTCTTCAGTGTTACCTTTCTTACTCTTCCTTCTTCCATTTCTTTTATCAGTTCTTTCCTCTTTCATTATAAACACATAATTATTGAATTTATTTAAAATTTGGATATTCAGCAGAAATTTGGAGCTATAGGAGTGAATAAATTTTCTTTTATATGGAACTAACATTCTAGTGACAGAGACTAGGATTTTTCTGTCACAAGCACAAGATAGATAAAATATGTCAGATAACAACAAGTCCTATAAAGAAAAGGAAAGCAGAGTCAGGGAACAGAGAGTGACCAGGATGGTTTTATTTTAGGTCACGTAGTGAGAGCAGGCCTTTTAGAGGAAGTGAATCTTTAAATAGACCTGAATGAAGTGAGGGTGCAACCCACGTACAGGCATACCTTGATTGGTTGCACTTTGCTTTATTGCGCTTCACAGATACTGCAATTTTTATAAATTGAAGGTTTGTGGCCAGCCTGCACCCAAGAAGTTTATGGGTGCCATTTTTCTGATAGCATGTGTATACTTTCTGTGTCCCATTTTGGTAGTTCTTGCAATATTTTAAACTTTTTCTTTATTATATGTCATGGTGATCTATGATCAGTAATCTTAGATATTAAAATTATAATTGTTTTGGGGTACCACAAACCATGCCTGTAGAAGACCAGCATGCTTACTGATATGTGTTGTGTGTGTTCTGACTGCTTCATGGGCCCCCATCTCTCTCTCTCTCATTGAGTCTCCCTAGCCCCTGAGAATCAACAATATTGAAATTAAGCCAATTAATAACCCTACAATGGCCTATAAGTGTTCAAGTGTAAGGAAGAGTCGCATGTTTCTCACTTTAATTCAAAAGCTTGAAATGATTAAACTTAGTAAGGAAGGCATGTTGAAAGCTGAAACAGGCTGAAAGGTAGGCCTCCTGTGCCAAACAGTTAGCTAAGTTATGAATGTAAAGGGAAAGTTCTTGAAGGAAATTAGAATACAGTGAATACAGGGATGATAATAATGGGAAACAGCCTTGTTGCTGATATGGAGAAAGGTTGCGTGCTCTAGATAGAAGATCCAACTAGCCCCAATATTCCATTAAGACAAAGCCTAATCCAGGACAAGGTTCTAACTGTCTTTAATTCTACAAAGACAAGAGAGATGAGGAAACTTCAGAAAAGCTTGAAGCTAGCAGACGTTAATTCATGAGGTTTGAGGAAAGCAGCTGCCACCATAACATAAAAGTGCAAGTGAAGCAGCAAGTGCTGATGGAGAAGCTGTATCAAGTTATCCAGAAGATCTAGCTAAGGTAATTGATGAAGGTGGCTACACTAAACAGATTTTCAGTGTAGATGAAATCGGCTTTTCTTGGGAAAAGATGCCATCTGGGACTCTCATAGCTAGAGAGGAGAAGTCAATGCCTGGCTTCAAAGCTTCAAAGGACAGGCTGACTCTCTTGTTAGGAACTAAGGCAACTGGTGACTTTAAGTAGAAGCCAACTGCTCCTTTACCATTCCAGAAATCTTAGTGCCCTTAAGATTCCTTTAAAAATATTACTGCCCATTGGCAATGCACCTGGTCACCCAAGAGTTTTGATGGAGATGTACAAGGAGATTAATGTTGTTTTCATGCCTGTTAACACAGTGTTTATTCTTCAGCCCATGGATCAAAGAAGGATTTCAACTTTCAAGTCTTATTACTAAAGAAATACATTTCATAAAGCTGTAGCTGCCATAGACAGTGATTCCCCTGATGGATCTGAGCAAAGTAAATTAAAAACCTTCTGGAAAAGATTCACCATCCGAGATGTCATTAAGAACATGTGATTCATGGGAGGAAGTCAAAATGTCAACGTTAACAGGAGTTTGAAAGAAGTGGATTCCAAATCTCATGGATGACATTGAGGGGTTCAAGACTTCAGTGGAGGAAGACTCTGCAGATGTGATGGAAATAGCAAGAAAACTAGAGTTAGAAGTGGAGCCTGAAGATGTGACTGGATTGCTGCAATCTCATGACCAAACTTGAACAGATGAGGAGGTACTTCTTATGGATGAGCAAAGAAAGTGGTTTCTTGAGATGAAATCTACTCCTGTGAAGACACTGTGAACATTGTTGGACTGCCAACAAAGAATTCAGAATATTACATAAACTTAGTAGATAAAGCGGTGGCAGAATTAGGATTGACTCTAATTTTGAAAGAAGTTCTACTGTGAGTAAAATGCTATCAAACAGCACTGCATACTACAGATAAATCTTCTGTGAAAGGAAGAGTCAGTTGATATTTGCAGGCTTTATCATTGTCTTACTTTAAAAAATTACCACAGCCATCCCAACCTTCAGCGACAGCCACCCTGATGTCAGCAGCCCTCAACGTGGAGGTGAGACCCTCCACTCACAAAAAGATGATGACTCCCTGAAGGCTCGGATGATTGTCAACCTTTTTTTTTTTCTTGAGATGGAGTCTCACTCTGTCGCCTGGACTGGAGTGCAGTGGCACAATCTCGGCTCACTGCAACCTTCATCTCCCAGGTTCAAGTGATTCTCTTGCCTCAGCCTCCTGAGTAGCTGGGACTACAGGCACCTGCCACTATGCCCAGCTGATTTTTTTTTTTTTTGTATATTTAGTAGAGATGGGATTTCACCATGTTGGCCACACTGGTCTCGAACTCCTGACCTCGTGATTTGCCTGCCTTGGCCTCCCCATGTCAACCTTTTAAAATTAGCAATATTTTTCAATTAAGTTATGTATATGTATTTTTTAGGCAACATGGTATTGCATACTTAGTCTACTAAGTAGACTGCAGTCTGGTGTAAACATAAAACAAAAAAGTTTGTGTGAGTCACTTTATTGCAATATTTGCTTTATTGCAGTGACCTGGAACCCAACCTGCCACAGTGTCTTCAAGGTATGCCTGTGTATCAGGCAGAGGGAATAGCAGGGCAGATGCCCTGAAACTGGTGTGAACTTGGCTTGGTGAATTGTGAGCTTAGAAACTGAGTCCCTAAATTGATACAGAAGTAACCCAACTCTGATTTTATGATTCATGCAAGAAACTCTAGTTTATTGTTTTGTAGTTACACATTGCGTTTTTAAACCTAGAGTGATAGTCCCCATCTTTATGACATGTCTTATTCACTACACTGAACTATGAATGACTTTTGTCTATTTAAAACAAGTGAATCCACCTTCAAATGAAGTTTGGCTACAATTTATTTTTTTTAATACACAAACACATATTGAGTGTCTGCTTACCACAATGCCAGACATTGTTCTAAGCCTGGTAACTAAATTGGCTGTAATTCTGCTCAAATGGAGGCTATAGCTTGTGATGTGCTGTGTGCTTTTTCTTTTGAGACAGGGTCTTACTCTGTCATCCTGGCTGGAGCGCAGTGGTATGATAATGACTCACTGCAGCCTTGAACTACTGGACTCAAGTAATCATCCTGCCTCAGCCTACCAAGTAGCTGGGACTACAGGAACACAGCGCCACACCCAGCTGACTCAAATATTTTTTCAAGATGGGATCTTGCCTACCATGTGCTTTTAAGTCTGTTTCACGAAAAGATAATCTAAAAACTTTAGTCAATGATGGCCTTATT